TGTATTAAATCAATCTTTTATTATTAAGTGTATAAACATAAAGAAAGAACTATTAATGCTTATAAAAATTTCATATTGAGTCAGTTTAAATGTTTTAAGAAGAAGAAAAAAAAAAGAACAAGACAAACATAAACAATTATATAAGAAATCGGTATTTATTCATTTTAAAAAGACTACATTAACATTAAAAATGAGGTAGGAGGATACATATGACATTTTTCATGTTAAGTAATATGATCAATTTATCATATAAAGGATTACAAGAAAATAAAACTTCAAACGAAATAGTTTATCCTTGTTACATCGAGAGTAGATTAAATCAAAATAATTGAACCTAATTTAAAGTAAATTTTTTTTTGTGTTCAATAAAAAAAAAACAATGAATAATAAATAATTTTTATTCGATTTACTAAAGATAAACTATGTTTACATTGTTGATTCTCAGTATGTATGATAAGTTCGAGGACAAAAGTGTTAGATCTCTCATATGGTAAACATCAGTCATTAATAAACACATATTCATTCAATCTATGTGAAAATGCGATCGATGAAAAAATGATCGATTGCTCTATTATAAGCTAGCTATAAAAAGAATAAACTATGTTTAATATATAAGATATGACTATTTATTCGATCATCGTTAATTATTTCCTCATATGTAATTATCTCTGTAACATATATTTGATTATAGCTTATTATTTTTTTATGTAAACATTTTTGTTTTATTCAATATTAGTACCAGCTTCTTTTTCTTTATATGATTGTTGTTGACATCAATGTAATAATCTTGTATTTTTTTTTTTCTTGTTAAATAATCATCATCATTTCAAGGTTAATGTACTTGCTCATATCAGTATACCTTTTTTCTTTGTATATTTATAAAAGACAAAGATCTTTTCCTCAACATCAATAAATACTTGACATTCTCGATAAGATAGATATATCTATATATGTATAGTGTAATGGTTGTAATACTATTCTTTTATTTCATGCTGTTTATCAAGGGATAGTTGAGAATATCGTTTGAGTAGTAAATATGATCGTAGCAATGTATTATTTATCGTTCACAGTAGTATACTTCAAACAATATTATAAGCTTAAAATTTGTCTTTATTCTTATATGTTTCATAGTGCTTCATATATAGATACTTAGTCTTTTTTTTTTATTCAAAAACAAAAAAAAAATTGAATTGTATTAAATATCTATAGGTCTTTTAATTTGATATCTAATGATGTTTTCTATAGACGATTCATTATCGGATCACATGCTGATTCGATGTCCTGTGGTCATTATTGATGAATGAAAGCAACTATTCTTATTGCATATAAAGACATAAGAATATGCGAAGGAATTCCTGTCAATTAAATATTGATTATTCATTTTCTCAACATATGGATCCATTTCAAAATGAATACCTTGGAGGTATCAAACAATTATTACAATAGTAGAGTAAAAAACTAAATATTGATTGAAACAAGTGAGACTAGAAATCATTTAGACATATACCATATATAATTACAGTCAATACAATATAAATGTACATAGTAATATTGAACTATGGAAGAGAGACTCTTGTTTCAACGAATGATCAATGAATCAATCAATCAATCATTGATCGATGATGGAAAGGATGACATTGAACGACTTGCATAGAACGACCCATTAGTCTCATATGCCGACTGATGTTCGCTCATATTATGACATAATGTATAGTTGATTGAGCCTTTTTTTTTCTTCTTGCTCTGTACATATATGTATATGCATGGTTAAAATGACTGAGTTGTTTGAGTCGTGCATACGTGCGTGCATTTGACACGCCGATGCTCCAAGGTCTGTTTATCGCATATGCAATCAATTGCAGCATGATGATGAGAATAGCAGCAGTAGTATCGAGGTTAGATTAACACATCACATCTCGCTTTTCTCATGCTCTATCCTATCTTACAGCAGTTGTTTGTTTTATCGTATCGGACTATTACTTTCTCACTCACTCTCTCTCCCTCTCTCTCTCTCTCTCTCTCTCTCTCTTTCTCAGTACTGATAATAAACTGTTCAACTAGTTTCTTTTTCTTTTTTTTTCTGTACTTCATTACATCATATACGTTTATACTCGTCTTTTTCTCTATATATTGAGGGCAAATGATTTCGAGCACGAGTAACTGAGTTGTAGTATATAACCCATTCAATGTATATCAATTACGGATAAATGGGAACAAAAGAGAAAATTTTCTATTATTGTTGCTTCTGTATAATTGTTGATCTTTCGCAAAAAAAATCTTTGACAGGCATGATCAATGCCATCAGATATATGCATCTATTATATGCATACGGACGCACCTTTATATGCAGAATATATATATATATATAGATGAATCGATAAATGAATATGCTGTTTCTTTAAACGTTGATAATCCTTGACATTTCAATGGACACACACAAAAACGCATACAAATATGTAAAGCTCACAAATGAGTGTCAAAGAGTAGATAGATCGAGTCCAACTCACACATCGGTTGCCGCTCCACTGTCAGTTGTTGAACCAGCTGCACTTGTTTTTAAATTGTCATAAGCTTCATCTGTTGGAAATGGTTCATGCTTTTGTTTTTGTTCTTTATGATGACCAAAAAAATTTCTCTTTCTAAGAAATTTAATACGTTTGTAAAGAAAAAAACCAATAACCATTAATACGATAAGAATAAAAGTAAATACTATAAGTATTATTACAGTTCGAATTATTTCACTTAATAATGAACGTTCTTGTTGAATAATAATTTGTTGTTCAACATTTTTTAATGGTGGTGGTCGTTTACCATTAAGATATTGTTTAAGAATAAATTCTTTCCATGTACGTTCATCATCAGTTATATCTGATATTATTGCTGTTGAATCATTTATAATATCGGGTGGTGATTCAACATTAATTTTAGCAGAAAAAACAACTAAATTTTGATAATCATCTTGTTTAGTATTATTAATTTTATTATTATTAATATCAAGATGATCTAAACCAGGTAATACTGATTGAGGTTCATATAAAATACAATCATAATCAACAATTAAATGTTGAGCATAAGTTAAACTTTGTATTAATGATGGACATATTGATGAATCCATACGAATACAATTAATCGATATTGAACATGTTCGATGATTATTACAACCAAGATAATGTTTATTAAGACGTCGTTGACATGTACTAGGTGCACAACCATTACCCGTATAAAAAATAACTGTACGTAATTTAATAACAAAATTTAAAGGACATGATAAAAGACGAACATTAGCTGTTGTATTTGTTATTTTCTCATTTGAACAACAAGTTTCAAACTTATAAGTCCAAGATGGTAAAATAATAATAATAATAATAAAAAACAAATAAAAAAGAACTTGATTTGAAATCATATTGTTTCGAAGAAATATCTTTGAACAATAATAATTAACATCTACAATCAATAAAACATAAACATCTTGTTCTAATTAGATAAACTTTTTTCTATATCCATATATATAAATAATAATAACAATAAAAAAATGGTAAGACAATTCTGTCTTAGATTGTTGCTTAACAAATATATATATATATAATACATACGTGCAATTGTTAAGATGCATGAGACTTTTTCATTCCCTATTTCTCTCATACCTTTTTTTTTTGTATATGTATATACGTATTTATTTGAATTCGTTCGAGTGTCTATGTTGCACGAGTGTCTGCATAATTCTCTCGCGTTTCATGAACTGAACAGTTGATGAGGATCAGCATACTGCTCTCTCTTGTCATGAGCTGTAGCAAACACAATTGCATTTTTCTCTCGCTCTCCTTCTCCCTCTCTCTCTCTCTCTCTCTCTCTCTCGTGCTCTCCTGGTACTGCATACATATAGTAACAACAACAATACCAGGAGCAGTGCGTCCTGAGATTAAGCGATCTCTTTTCTTGTATAGAATACATATATGTATTCTTCTCTCTTTCTCTCACTTCTTCTCTGTTATGTGAGTTAGTGATAGGTATATATATACTATTAGTGATGGAGCTCCTTTACTTGTATATATGCACATTACGGTTATGCGTCTGACAAGGCTTTACTTTTATACAATATAAAGCACTTTGCTGATGGACGTTCAAGGTCAAGGTCATGAACACGTTTGTCTTCACCAAAAATCGATTATTTGCCTATGTACATATTGAAAGAAAAAAAAAAACAAGGCTCAATCATCATCATCGTCGCTCAACGAAATGTCGATTCATTTGGGAAAGAATTGGTTATCATTGTACATACATATGAATATGTCTGTATGATACAGTTGGGTTGCGTCAAATAGAAGAATGACATGCACATGCATGCCCATTAACAAACATTCTACAATTGTAACAAGCGATCATATCAGAGTGACAATTCTCTGTTGTATTATGAACAAAATTGCGTCAGCTTGATTTCTCTAACGAACTATTTAGACATTCTTTTTTTTGTCTCAGATCAACAATAAAAAAGGATACAATTATCATTGAATGCACCATATTATAAAACCAATGTTAACAATCTTTATTTCTTTTTTTTCTTCGAATGTCTCTTTTTTGGTGGCTTAAGGATACTAATGTATAACCGCTAGAGAATCCATAATCGCATCATCATACTAAATTTGAATCAGAATAGAATACACTAATCCTTTTTAGATCGTACTATGACAGGAAGTTACTAGTTCTTGCGTCATATTAGTTGCTGATGAATTTAGACAGCGATTTCCTTTATGTCAATCTTATTGAATAACATTGCGAGTTTATTATTGTTATATTGAAAAAAGAAATATGAAGAAATAAAAGTTGTCATAACACGTTTTTATTTTCTCATTTATCAACGTATTTTAATATCACGTTGTTGTTGCTGTTGTTCTTGTCATCAAATTACCGAATAGAAAGAAAAAAAGAAAGAAAGAAAGAAAGGATAAAAAAAAGGTGATACATCATTAGTTGTTTTTTTTATTTTTATTTTACGTAAAACAATGTCTTCAATTCGTATAAAAGTCCAGCTTGGTGATAATAAATCAAATAATAAATCTTATCGAAAAACCTTACCATCATTAATTAAATTTATTTATGTTCTTAATTCATCATCAACTAAAACAATTAATCAGCTTAAACATTTACTTGAAAATTATATCATTCGAGAATTTTCATATAATAATGTACAAATTGTTCAATTAATGACTGATGATGGTTATTTTCTATCGAATAATGACATATGTTCAGATGTACTTGAAGATAATGATCGAATTATTTGTGTTGATATGGAAAAATTTATTGAAGAAAATTATATGACATTAGATCTTGAAAATTTATGGTGTGAAATTAAACAACATGATGCAAGTGATAACCTTGAAAAATATATTAAAGTTGGTCTGAATAATTGTGGAAAATTATTTATACGAATTTATGGAACATCAACTATGTATGGACTTTATATGTTTAATATATTTGAATTAATTCAAATTGCTAATGAAAAAAAACAACAAAGTAAATATTAAAAAATCAAATATTGAATTTAAACCAAAAAAAAAAACAGAAGTCATTCATTTTATTTAAGATAGTATCATTGCTCGACTTGGTAATACGAATTGGTTTATTGAAGCTAAATGGGAATATGATTCTATTTCAAATACATGTTTATTTCTTATATGTAATTTAAAAGTTGGTTCAAATGAACAAATATGGTCAAATAAATTACATATTTTACTTGATGAATCACATATGTGTATAGAAAAAGGTGAAATAATTAATTTATCAGGTGAAATAACTAATGATGATATTTTAACTGATCAACAACGAGAACGTTTAAAAGAACT